GTTCTCAGTGATCTTAACCAAAAGGAAAAAAATTAAAAGACAATGGAAATTACAAAGTGGAAAAAGAAGACACAGCTAGATTGTCAAGTGACTCCTGTGTCAGCTGACTTCTAACAAGTGACAACAGGGTTCAGGAGACAGCAGAATGACATCAGTGTGCTGAGAAAAACAACCTTCAACCACTCACCCATTGTTGTCCATTCTTATAAGAATGTAGTTGAGAAAAAGAGATAAAGGATCTCAGAGATAGAAAAAAATTGAATCGACCTCCTGAAGACCTATTTAGGCATAAAAGGAATAATAAGGAATAAACTCTCAGGCTGAGGATATGGCTCAGTTGGGAGAGAGCTTGCCTGGGTGCAATCCCAACACCACACACACAAAAAAGAATGAACTCCAAATAGGAAAAAATAAAAACCAGCACCAGATGCAAGAAGGAACTAAGATCAAGAAATGCCATGAATATGTGAACAAATGTAACTGGATATTGCTTATAGAAAGTAGTAATAATTATAAGTACTAAGATTAAGCTGTAAGGACATGTTTAAAATAACAGAAAATACTAATATATAAGTAGAGTAAGGGGCAAATGGCATTTCTTCTATTTATATTTGCTAAAGGTAAACATGATAGTGTTATCTGAGCAGAGAATGAAGGTTTTATAAACTTTAGACTTTGGTGAGCTAAGTATGTTTTAAAGTATACAGTATCATCAAAAGTAAGAACCTCAATGAGCACATTGGCAGACACCTGTAATCCCAGCATCTGGGGAAGCTGAGGCAGGAGGATTACAAGTTCAAGACCAGCCTCAGCAACTTAGTGAGGTCCTATGAAACTTAGTGAGAACTTAGTGTTTTTTTAAAAAGGGATAGGTAGGGGCTGAGGATGTAGCTCAGTGGTAAGGAAGCACCCAGTACCAAAACAAACAAAAGAAACGTAGACCTAATATACTTAGAATACTATACTGAATATAATGCACATTTTTGTAGAACATACAACAAAAGGAAAATAAGCACACATTAAAAAATAAAATCATTCTAGATTAACACCAAAGTTGAAGCCAAACAGTGTATGTTCTATGCAATAAACCTTGAGCAATAATAATAACCTCAAAACCCCTATGTGACTATGTATTAAGATGCTTCCAAATGATGTAGGAGCCAGGGAAGAAATCATAATGGAAATATGACAATGCTGTAAAGGGAAAGATCAAAAACTTGTGGGCAAGAGATAAGCACCACTATTGAGGCAATTCATAGTACCTCGAAAGCTAGATACTATAAAATAGGAAACGTGTAAAAATTTATGGTCCAACGATTGAGAATTAGAAAAAAGACAGAAAATTGCTCCCCCCCCCCGACCCCACCCCTCAAAAGCAAGAGCATACATTAGTGAAAAAGAGAGAAAAGAAWTCGTGCACATACTAGTAAAGATCAAAACAGTCAACAATGTTTCTTGGAAAGTGCTAAAAATATGTAATTTATTTTCTTTTCTCCACTTCTGGTTATGATAGAGTAGTACCAGGACACCTCTCTTAGGAGAGGTGTTTTTTGTTTGTTTGTTTGTTTGTTTGTTTTGGGGTTGTTTTTTGTTTGTTTGTTTGTTTTGTTTTGTTTTGGTACTAGGGATGGAATCCTAGGATGCTTTACCACTAAACCACATCCCCAGCCTCTTTTTCATTTTTTTATTTTGAGACAGAATCTTGCTAAATTTCTTAGGGTCTTGCTAAATGGCTGAGGCTGGCCTCAAATTTTAGATCCTCTTATCTCAACCTTGCAAGAATCACTGGGATTACAGGCACAACCACTTTAAAACTGATTAGCATTCCACCTGGCTGTTGGAATGCAGATGAAGGAAACCACAGTGACTAGGATCTGAGGAGCAAGGCTCTTGTCAAGAATTGTCCACACAAAGCCAGTGTTCTCTACCACTTTTCTCCTTGAGGTATTTGCTGACTCCTAAGATTTACAGGGTACCAAATCAGAAGCCAGGCTGATAGGAAGCAAGGTCATCATGAACAATATTATAAAAATAATCTGACGCTGCAGACGAAATTCACAAATGCCTTATAAAAGCCCAACAACCCAAACTATGTCAAACCCACCTGTCACAGCAAAGGAGAAAAGAGAACATCTGAAAATTCTTTAATAAAGATTCAAATCTATAATTTAAAACTTTCACCCAAAAAAAGAAAGAAAAAGAAAATCAATTCAGGAGCAGATTAGTTCTTTCAAATATTTAGAAAAGGAGTAACAGTAACTTGAACAAGTACTTATATGGTACTGTCACAATCTTTGACACTAAAATGTGACAAGGACATTGCTAAGAATAAGACAATTATAGGAAGTTCTCTTTTATTAACCTTGTGTAGACATCCGAAATAAAAGATGAGGAACCAAACTGAGTGATACACGTGAGAATTCATCACGGGCTACTCAGTCAAAACCAGAAGTACAGTTGATTTCACATTCAAAAATTTATCAGTAATAGACCTAAATGTGAAACAGTAAACTATAAAGCTTCTAGACTGGGAGAGAGAATTTAGGAGAACATTTTCATGACTGGAGGTGCTCAGAGCATGAAAGAGACTAACAAGAATAAATAAATAAATAGGAATGCTTTTTTAAAAATTTTTTTAAGTAAAAGGAGCAAACAAACTAAAACTTCATCAAAGTCATCATTAAGAGAGTGGAAATCAAAGCACACAGTGGGGGTAATTTTTCCTATCAAATGACCCATATGTGGAATACACTTGAAAATTAGTAATAAACTGGCAAAAAGTTAAAATGAGAAAGGCTTTCACAAGCACATCAGAAAGAAGACAGATGGCTAGTGAGCATGTGAAAATGTGTTCAATGCCATTAGTCCTCAGAGAAGCACAAATTAAAATCACAGTGAGATACTACTATGTATACATTGGAATGACCTTAATTAAAAATATTGGCAATACCAAGTGTCAGCAGGAATGTGAAGCAGCTGGAAGTCTTACATATTTTTGGTGGGGGGCAAAATGAGGTGTTCACCTTGGAAAACTATTTAGCGGTTTTTAACACGGTAAAATACACCTATTTTATGTCTCACGCATGAGAATATTCACAGCAACTCTGTTCATCATGGTGAAAACAGGAGTAATTCAAATGTCCATCAACAGCAAAAGAGCTCAACAAGTGGTGATTATTCAAATAACAGAGTATCTCTCAGCAAGAAAAAAGAATGGCTTACTGATACATGGATCAACACGGATGAACTTCAATCCCTTATGGTTTTTTATTGGTTCTTTTTAGAACCATGACAGTAGAATCCATTTTGAAGTAATTATCCAAGCATGGAATATGTCTTATTCTAATTAGGAGCCCATTCTTGTGGCTGTACCTGGTGGTGGATTCATACATGTTCATGGAAAAATTTTGTCAGATTCATTCCACTGYCTTTSCTTTTCCTATCTGCTCAATCCATTATGTTAAACACACAATTTCAGATACAAAAATGAACAGGCAAATTTAATAAATGATCTCAGAAATTCAGAGGAGAGGATACTCTAGGTGATGTCGGAGGATTGACAGGGAGAAAACAGAGACCTTACTGGAGTGATGGCAATGTGCTGTATCTTGATATAGGAAGCAAACAGATAGATAGATAGATAGATAGATAGATAGATAGATAGATAGATAGATAGATAGATAGATAGATGATATAGATAGAATGTACTTCTTTATTTGTAAACTCTAATGCTAAAAATATTAGGAAATATTTTTAAAGCAGATAACAGTTTTATATTTTTATGTACAGAGTGCATATAACTCAAGAAAAAAGTCAAAAACACTACTAAAAAGGGAAGGAGTTTATACAAAAGCAACTCAAATTCACTAGTAACCAGGGAAATGACAAATGTATTAACAATGGACTAATATTTACATTCATTAGCCTAGAAATAATTAAAGAGATATCACAATTATTACTGGCAGATACATGGTGAATAGGATGATCTCATGTATCAGCAATAGAAATATAAGATGTTTATACCCTTTTAGAAAGAGAGGAGACATTGTTTACTCTTATGAAAGATGCATATACCTTTTAACCCTAATATTCAYCTCCACAGCAAGTAAACCACCTATAATTATGGGTTTTGTACATTATCTGGCAATTAAAAACATGTGGCTCTAAAATAGTCATTTAAAAATGCAGTAGAAAAACCTGGTTGAGGAACAGAATGTTATTGTATTAACCTTTGCAACTTCAGTGTAAGATTCAGCTCCCAGAGGACGACACACCTTGGCTGGCACAGCCCCTGTGTCCAGCCTCTGAGCTATGACAAAGTGTGTGTCCCTCTTAGTCGTGCACTTACTTGCTATGACTAAAAGACTCAACCAGCACAATTATAGACTAGGAAAAGTTAATCTGGGGGCTCCCAGTCTCAGAGGTCTCAGAGAGACAGTGGCTCCATTCCTCAGGGTTCAAGGTGAGGATCATGGCAGAAGAGTGTGGCAGAGGGAAGTGGCTCACATCATGATCAGGAAGCAGAGAGAGATTTCCACTTGCTACAAGATATATACCCCTAAGCCATGCTCCCCAATATCCACCTCTTCTAGCCACACCCTACCCACCTTCARTTACCACTCAGTTAATTCCTATCAGGGTATTAATTCACTGACTGGGTTAAGGCTTTCTGTTTTTTATTCCTTTTTCTATCTCTACCACCTTCTTTCTTTCTCCTTTAATAGATCACTTTTTGGATATATTTTTGTATTTGACATATTTATGAAATTGAGTATTGCCCATGCATAATTTAGAAACTGTATGATTCATGATATTCTGTGTTATGCTATGATGAAATAACTGTATACTCTCAGGATTCTCCGCTGACTTGATTCCAGAGCATGAGAAATACTTGAGAAATGGGGGGGAGGAGGGTTATTACATAGGCATCACTGCCTCATTCTAATCAGAAAAAAATAATATGCTAATATGATGACTCTTCTTTATCTTCTGTGTTTCAGGGAATATTCACCATGTTGATGATCCTCAATGTTATCGAATTACTCATTTCTCTGTCTATCTCAGTTTGTGGATTCCACTCAGAAGAAGATCATGACTTTTAGGACTGTCGTTTCTAGCACTGTGAGAATAAAACGTGTTACAATATTCCTGAGAGATGAGCTCTGCCCCAAAGGAACATAAAATCTTCAGGCTGCCAACTCTGTGACTCACAGAGAGGGTGGGTGCGAGGACACGTTGGCACTCGAACACTGCCTGCCTCTTGACCAGGGCATCTCCCCTCTCCACACCTCGGTGCCTTCAGCTGTCCTTCATGCATTCTTTCACCTACAGGACAGCAGAGTGCTGTTGCCCCAAGACAAGCAAAGGTTCAAACCAAAGCCCCAGGTCAGGGTGACCAAGTTCTCTCACTTTTCTGATTCAGAAAAATCTGCCAGTTCCTCTAAGGTTCTGTCCTGTGATTCCTACTCTGTTTTGCAGAAAGATGAGTTAGAGGCAAAAATGGTTTGGCCCACAAAATATATGTTGATGCTGAAAGATCATCCGTRCAGTAAGCTGACCAACTAGAATGGTAATGATAAAAACAAAGAGAACAAATATTTATTGAGCCACTGTGGTGCTCCAGGCTTCATGCTAGAACTTAGCATGCTTCACCCATTGCTCATTTTGTCTCACAAAAGAAGTCAATTTTAATATTATACCCAAACAAGGAAGCTGAAGAATGGAAAAAGTATGTAATTTTCTCAAAGTCACAAAGCTTTCAGGGGCAGTCTGGCTGCAGAGTGTAGAGGTCTTAATCTGTAAACCAATCTCTGCTAAGGTTTTTGGTCTCGGGATCACTTCATTAAAAATTATAAAGGAGTCTTTACACATTAGTACAAATAAAATTTTTCCTAAAGTATATTTTTCAAAATAAAATAATTAGTAGGGAGGATGATATTGATTTCTGTTTTCAGTAAGCTCTTTAATGCAATGGTTCCTAGACTCAATTGAATATTCAAATCATCTGAGGAACTTTCATAAATTCCCGTTCACCAAATGCAAACACAAACCAATTGGATCTGAATGTGGTGAGAGCCAGACATCAGTCTTTTTTAAAAAAGATTTACAAAGGATTTCCAATGCAGAGCAAAATTTGGAAACTATTGCTTTCCTCCGGCACAATGGAAGGCAACTGGATTCTCATCGTGGCTTTTGCATTCACTCTGATGTATGGGTTCTGGAGCCTATGGGGTGCCCTATTGCAATCCTGTGAACAATGGAAATAAGTTCTAGTATTAACATGAAAATAGCTTTGAGCTCATGGGCACCCTAAAAGTGTCTTGAGGACCCCAGGAAATTCCCAGACCACACTTCCGGAATCACTGCCTTCCGCTGACAATATCTTCTGGGCATTAGGGATCTGCCTGTGCCATTTCGATTGTCCTGACAGCCCTCTGAGCTAGCTGTGCCTTTGTCAGGGACGTGAAACCCACATTCTAAGTAGCTAACTTTTCTGAGATCACAAAGGGAATATGATTTAGAACCAGGATTTGAATCAAGATTGCCTAACTCCAAATCCCATTATCTTATGCTCACATGGGCTTTGAGCAAACAAAAAACTTAGCATACTCAAAGAAAATAAATTAACAGGCTTTGTCTATAGGTATGTATGGGTATGAAGGTGAAGGACAGGGAAATGGCAGGAGGAAAAAATGGTCCATTTTGAAAAAAAAAATTTCCAGGAGATGAGGATCTGATAAAAAATATTTTGGCAACTGAGTGATGTTCAGATGGGTGAGGTGTGAGAAATATTTAAGGTTGAACCCCCGGCAGGTAAAGATAATGGTTTTTAAGTCAGATCTAGATTTAAATATTGGTTTTGCCCCATAAAACTGTGACTTGAACCAACTATTTAAATTTTATGTGCTTTAAATTCCTAGAATAATATGCAGAAATAATAATGTCTACCTAGTGAGTTTGCTGTGACCCCTAAATGAAATATGTGAAGTGATTTTATCAGTATCTAGAACTTAAAAATTGCTTCATAAATAGTAATTGTTTTGTTTTGTTTAGTTTTTTGGTGCTGGGGATTGAACTCAGAAGCACTCAACCACTGAGCCACATCCCCAGCCCTATTTTGTATTTTATTTAGAGAGAGGATCTCACTGAGTTGCCTAGTGTCTCACTGTTGCTGAGGCTGGCTTTGAACTCACCATCTTCCTGTCTCAGCCTCCTGACTGCTGGGATTACAGGCGTGCCCCACCACACCTGGCTAATAGTAGGTTTTTTAAAACACATAATTGTGATTATCCTGCTCTTGAAACATCAGTTATTAGGTGATTTACTAACTGTGATTTGGGGCCAGTTTTCCTCTTTTCCTGAACTATAGTTTCTTCAATTATTAAACAGAATCTCTACATGTTATGATACTTTTCCATGGGTGGTGCTTGGCATATAAGTAGGTATTCAATTAATGTTACTTGCTGTGAACAATATAAAGTAGTCCTACAGGACAGAAGGAACTATAAAGCTCTTAAATATTTGAATTTATACTTTCCTTAGTACGAATTATAAGCACAACATTGGGATTTTATGATCTGTAACCAAATTCTATTTTCAGTTAGATATTTTGCCTCATTTCTAAGGGACCCTGTATCTCCCTTACCAATGCTCTGAAATAAAAACCTTCCAACAGCAGATACTCCTGGACGTCCAGGCCTTGCTGAGAATTGGTAGTATTGTTACTTCCTAATATCGGGTGGCCACAGGAGAGCTGTTAGTCTCATCACGCAATAGAAAAACTATCCCTGTTTTCAAGGGACACGAAGACCAACGGCTGAGTAAGGAAAGGACACAAGTAATAGGACATAGGGGAATAAATAAAAGAAAAATTCATATCAGGCAAACACTAAATAAAACTGGTGTAATTTTTAAGTTAACTTCATGAAGTCGATTTTTTTTTTTTTTTAGAAATGAGAAGACTGGTAGGTAATGACAAGAAGCTAATTCAAAGAAATACTTTTAAATGTGTAATAGAATACTACATAGCAGCAAAATATCCTCAAACATTCAAAGGGAAGAAAGTGACAGATCCAAGAAGATGCTATTGATAAGCTCTGAGTGTGAGAATTTCAACATACTCAAGCACTGAAAGGACCATCCGTCCAAACTAACAACGGAAAAATGAAAGGTTTTTTTATTTGTATAAAATTAATTCAAGTTCATTTAGGATGCACCACCCATACAGCCATCTGTTTTCTCATTGGCCACGAAGATCAAAATAACAAACAACCCAAGACCRATGGGGGAAGAAAAGGGCTTAACCAGAGGGGGAAAAAATGCCAAAGACTGGGTTGCACAAACTAAACTCAAACCTCTTTGAGGCCACACGTTGGCCACTTCCTGACCCTGATCGCACACTCACTAAAATGAAGACACACACCTCTAACCAGCCGGCCGTCCTGGACTCCAACCTTAAGCCTCAGGATCATCCACAATTCGGACCCCACATGCTGCGATCTGAATGTGTTCTCCAAAGTTCATGTGTGGGAAGATTAATCCCCAATGCAACAGTGTTCAGAGGTGGGACCTTCCAGAGGTGATTCGGTTACAAGGGCTCAGCCCTCAGGGATGGATTAATGCCATGATCATGGGAATGGATTAGTTATTACAGGTGTAGGTTCCTGATAAAAGGATGAGTTCAGCCCCTTTCCACACTCTTTCTCACATGCATGCACCCACCCCTGCCCTGATGCCTTCTACCAGGAAATAACACAGACCAAAGGCCCTTGTCAGATGATATAGGGCCCTTGACCTTGGACTTTCCAGCCTCCTAAACTGTAAGAAATAAATCTCTGTTCCTCATAGGTTACAGTTACTACCTCATAGTCTCGGGTATTCTGTTACAGCAGCCTCAAAACAGATTCAGACATTATGTAATTATCATTCCTATCACCAGCCGATATGCACAGACCCACTTGGAATCTTACCCTGTGTTCTAACCATCTTAAAGGAAAGAGAGGCAGAAGAAGAATGGACAGAGGAATTAACATAAAACTACTCAACAGCTGCCATATTTCTACCCCTTAGGTTAAATGAATAATTAGCTAACTCTAGCTCTGTGTTTCTCATGAAATAAAGCCATATACACAGACATTCAAGAGTGACTAAAAATCCAACTTATGAACATAAAGATTATATATGGGTACGAGGGGTGATAATACCTTTAAGCAAATCTTTCCTTGATTCATCTCCCAAACGACTTTCCTGGTGCCACCAATTTCCACTATTTCTCCATTTGATCTAGCACCAAGCTTGATGGCCATGCATCATCCTGAAAAAAGCCAGATCCGTGCAAAAAGTACTGTTTCAATTTATTTCCTCAAATATGGACTTAAGCTTCTGGGCACCAAATTATATTTTTAGGCCATTTCTGCTAAATTTGATATAAGACATATAGGGTCTACAAAAACCCTCAACGTAAGCAAATGAGGCCAATGTTTGGGAAACAAAAGTACAGCACTCCCAAGTGTACGTGTGCAATAATTCTTAATTCTCCGCATGGATACCTCCTCCCCACCTACTCACTGATAAAAGTGAAACATGAGGGCAAAAGGCAGCCCTAAAGCCCATCTTTGGAGAATTTCTAGAGCCCTTCTTTCCCTAGGGACCCACCGTCCACACCTGCTCACAGGGTGGGGGCTGCAAAAGTTCTTCTAATTGAGGTACCATGAAGGGTACCAGGCGGTCCCCTGGGGTGTTTTTCAGGAAGYGAAACCTCCTGGTGAAGCAGAAACTTTTTTTGTATCTCCTTTGGCTCTGGTCAGTTTATATCAAACCTAAATAATTGGAGCAAAACTCAAGGTAGCAGAAGCTACTGATTTCCTGTCACCTGATTTCTGTTAGAAGTACCACCCCCAGGCCTCGATTCTTGAGAAATCAAAGCAAGGATTGAACCCAGCGGCAAGCATTCACATCAGCCCTTGAGCCCTGAAGAGCCAGGTAAGAAATCCGTTTCCTTTGATTAAGTGACTACGGGGAGGTGATAARGCATAAGATGATCTTAAAGAGTAGAGATTCTGTTTTAACTCTAGGGCTTCTCTTGTCAGACTTCGTCATGACA